TTCCCTTCCCTTTATAACTCACTTATCCTCTGCCATTCCCAAGTCAAGGGTCGTATATACTGACTCAATAGCATATCTTGAAAACTAGAGCCAATCAACAATTTTAAGCATCTTTTTCATTCTCAGTGACCCAGAATTAGTAAAGTTTGACTACATTTATTTCAGAAGCATTTTGGCTGTAGAGCAGTGTAATCGGATTGTCCCTTCTGGCCTTAGATGCTATGAATATATCTTTCCCTCCCTCCATCCACGGCCACCATCTCCCCCTCCTTTCTTCTTTCCCACCAGCTTTACTTTCTCTGATTGCCCTCCTTATCCCACTCCTCTGACACACATAATATATATCACTGCCAACCATTACTTCATCATCTCTTGCTCTCTGGCTCCTGGTTCTCACCAAGACCAAGATCTCATCTGACACTGCTACTGCATCCACTCTGTCATATGTTGGCTTCTCTCACCCTGGGTCATCTTCTGAAGTCTGTTGGCGGGTTTGTTGGGCTGCTTCTCTCTCAGTCCAGCCATTTCCAGCCCCTCCTTCCCTCTCTTTGAGCTTTTGAGTCTGACTACCTAGCCCTGGCTCACCCCCAGCCTCTGCTTGTTGCCTTCTTGTTCTCTTGCTGTGGAGTCTCTGGAAGTCTTGTGACTGTGCCGACCGTGTCTGCTACAACTGCATTCTTTCTGCCGTGTGTTTATCCAACATATCTAATTTACCTCCCTCACTGAATCCTACATTGCCACTTCTTCATCACCCCTTCCCTACTTCCTGCCTGCGTCTCTCAAAGAAAACATCTGTAAGGCTTGGCTTGACCTCCTCCCAGCCCAATGGGTTCCAAATTTCAGTTGGGACTTCTGGGTGCTACTCTAATATAAATAGTCACTTCTAAGATTTATAGGCTGCCCTGTGTACTGGAGAAGCTAATACTGGCTCCACACACTGCTATATTCCACCTCTATAGCTCAGCTCCCTAATTGGAAGTAACATGGCATGTGGTACATAGCTGCACAGTTAAGTCCCTGTGCACTATGCCTTTTTATGAGTGCAGATGATAGCTGAAAGGAAAGGGTTACTGCACATGTGCAGTTTCACATTTGGAAGTATTCAGCCCTTCATTTTGAAACCAATTTTTGTTAGGTTTACCAAAGCAAACAGGATTACTTATGTTCCAGTAAGTACTTGACGTTTCAGCCACTTTTGTGCCATCATTGATTTATTTTTGTTTGAGGCGTGGGGGCAGGAATGTAGTCATGAAATCATAAAATGGTTTGTTTCTTCCTTGTTGTAACTCAAAATAACAGGCAGGATTTTGTTCCAATGTTCTGGTTGTGGGAAATTGCCTTTGGGCAGAGACCAGGCACAAAAGGTAAACGTTTTTGGAATTCTCTGCATGAAACATAGGAGTTGCGATAGAAATCGTTTTTTGCAACCTTAACTAGTTGGTGCTACTACTCAGCTGTTATAATTAAGTTTCAGAACTTTCCCATGGGGAAAAAAGGATTAGTCTGTGTGTTACAGATGGGAAGATGGTGATAGAGAAGTTGAATGTCTTGATCTAGGTCACACAAGAAGTCGGGGCAGAGCTGGGATTAAATTAATGAATTCCCAGCTCCCAGTTTTGGAGTCAGATCACCCCTTCCCCCACTCAATTTAAAACTGTAAATCACTGTTTAGGCAGCCAGTCCAGGTTGTGGAGGGCCCTTTAAAAATGATTGTCATCTCACCTATGTGTGGTGGTCAGTATCATGCCTGCTTCAGGGGTAGTCTTTTGTTTATAGGTGGTGGAGTACGGTCTGTTTGTGAAGCACTGTAAAGTAGAAGTTTACCTCCTCGAACTGAAGCTGTGTGAAAATAGTGATCCTACCAATGTGTTGACCTGCCATTTCAGCAAAGCAGACACCATTGGTAAGTAGCTATGTGATATTTGCAGCTTTGAATTGACTGACTCTCATAAGGAATGTTTAAAAACACCTCATTTAATAGCAGTAAATGGGGGTAGAGCGCTTTAGCCTGTTGGTACGTGACTACAAGATTTGGGTTGGGTTGCCTCTGATGACCTTCTCCTGTCTCTAGGGTCAGCACAGTGGTGGCTGCGTGCCCTACTCCTCGCTTTGCTTTGTAAGTGCTACAGAGTGTGCTGCAGATCCTCAGCACCTCTTGCTCCGAGCATACACACAGTGCAGAAGGGGCATCAGGAATGGGGTATGCATCCACCACCACGTACCAACTCCACGGGCTGGAGGCAGCAATGGCACTGACTCAGGATTGGGGGGAAGGGTTAGGTTTGGTTGGAAAACTGCTTGACTCTTTGAGGACCTGGTGGCTTAAAAGTTAGGCCTAAGCAGACCTGTAAATGAGGGGGTAGGGGTGAGGTTAAAGGGTAATCAGAGCTTATCATTGTCTTCTCCATAGCAAATGGACATGCCATTGTTTGAAACAGTTCTGTGTCTAAATGTTTCCAGTACTTCTCTTGTACATTCTGTCACTGATGTGGCTCCTTGGGCTTTATGATTAAAATATTTCAGCAGATACTTCCTCCAGTTTTCCCTACTCATTCATTTTACTTGAAAATTGGCCCTATACCCTACATCACTGCATCATCGTATGCCCCCTCCCCCCATTTTAAGATGTTGCATGTAGACTATAATGTGATCCATAGATGTGCTTGGCTGATAGTTTCCAGTAGTGTGACCTTGTGCTGAGGGGTGAAAACATTATCTGAGCATGCTTCCTTTTTAAACTCCAATTTTCAGGTGCTTATAGCATTTCAGAAAAGAACAAATTTCTCAAGTTTGCTTGCAGCCCAGCCAAAAGGAACATTTCTGACAGACGAATGCGTATGAAAATAAAGGGTTTTAATAAGTAGACATTTTCAGCAATAATGATGGTCACACTACTGGATTATGAGACATATCTTTTACTGCTTGGGCATTGATAAAGTGGGGACATATGCGTTTAATGTATCTCTGGTTGGTCAGTTCTTTCTAGAAATATTTAAGCATTTCAGAAGTTTATTATTATATTTTCTCCCCTAAACAGCCACCATTGAGAAGGAAATGCGACAGTTGTTTAATATCCCCAGTGAGAAGGAAACTAGGTTATGGAGTAGGTATATGAGTAATGCCTATGAGCAGGTCAGCAATCTGGACAGCACTGTACAAGATGCAGGGCTCTATCACGGTCAGGTAAGATGCTCAGAATTCTCTAATAATCATGGTATTGAAATGCCTGGTAGGCTAACACATGGTTTTCCTTGGGCAAGTAGCTTGTCTATGAAAATGTTTTGCTGTACTATGCACAAGAAGAGAATCTATCAGTAAAGAGACCCTGCAACGGAAGCATTATATACATTTAATAGAAAACAAAAGATGTTAAACAATATTCAGAGAACATTAATTAAGAGATGTCTAAGTCATTTTACAGAACATGTAAAATAAGTTTGTTTTTACCTTGCCCTACTGTCTGCATTCCCTCTTCAGGTGCTGTTAATAGAAGTGAAGAATGAAGATGGTACATGGCCTAGGCAGTCTCTTCCGGCAAAGTAAGCATCCTCTCCATTCTTGTTTCATTGTCTTGCTCAACTCTCTAATTCCAGTGACCGGTTGCCTCATAGAGAAGCCCTGTTAAAGGCTATTATTTTGTTAATTTCTTTAAAGAGAAGAGGTTAGCATGCCCTGATCAACTGAATGTGGGATTAAAAACAAGAACATTAGCATTCTCTAGTTCTAGTTTTGGCCCTGTCATTGACTCTCTCTGGTCTTGGGCTGTAAAAAGGGGATAGGCAACAAAGTGTGATCTCAAATAGGTCACATGATAAATGTCTGTACCATGCTTAGAAGATGCTAAGTGTACTATCTGTGCTAAGCATTATTTTTTAAGTTTTAAAACATGCCTGGTTCTTCTTTAGTTGCATTTACAGTTTTAAAAGATGCAAAGACTCAGGGCATGTCTACTCTTAAAACACTGCATCGGCACAGCTGCACCGCTCTAGCACTTTAATGAAGACTCTCTATGCTGATGGGAGAGAGCTTTCCTGGTGGCATGGTTGATATGCCTCCCTGAGAGGCAGCAGTAGCTCTCCTGCTGACATAGCACCGTCTACACTGGGGATTAGGTCTGTATAACTATGTTGCTCAGGGGTGTCGATTTTTCTGCAGTGTGGACCAGAACTATATGTCACTGTGGACAGCATAATGAAAATATCTGTGCAGTGGAGGTTAAAAAAAGCAAACAAGATGTCATGGTGTATTAACAGAGATACTAATATTGAGTATTTTATTCCATTCTGTGTTCAATTCCAGTAATCTCCCATCAAAAAGGATATAATAGAAATGGAAAAGGTCCAGAGAAGAGCAGACAACATGATCGGAAGCCTGGGAAGGCTTTTGCATAAAGAGAGACTACAAAGATTAGAATTTTTTAACGTAGAGAGGAGGTGAATAAGAAGGGCCTTGATATAAGTATATAGAATAATTAATGCTATAGAATGAAATTTAAAATGTATGTGTACTGTTTCTTTTCTTGTAGTGCAAGAACAAGGTGACTTTCAGTAAAATAGAAAAGCAGCAAACTTAATGGAGACAAAGGGAATGCTTTTCTACAAAACACACGGTTAACTGATGGAACTTGCTGCCATGAGATCTTATTGAGGCTAACAGCTTAGTAAGATTAAAAAGACCAGGGCTTCAATTTTCAAAAGCTGATTTATAATGGGATCTGTATTTTTAAGTGACTTATTCTTTTGAAAAATGTTCCCTAGATATTTATATGGATCACGACAACATCCACATTTGCAGTTCATAAGATTAAAATTGTATAAGTAGTATAAATCATCATGTTTCAGATTGTGTAGATAGTATAAACGATCGTGCTTCATAGCAAAAGTCAACCCCTAACTGTCTCTCAGAATAGGATGAAACATGATCCGTGAGCAGGTTAGCCCAGGATTGTTCATTCTAGAAGTTTTACATTTTCCTCTGAAGCTTGTTACTGTCCACTAGGAAACAATACAAGATGTGGGGGACCAACCACTGGTCTGATTTGGTAGGAGAATTCCTATGTTTGTACAAGAAGAATTCATTGATCACTGAGGACTATGATTGAAAGGAGTCAAGGAGGTTCAGAGGATTCCATGGAAAATCAGAGCTATGTCATTCTAACTTTCTTTGACAGTTGATCCAAAAAGAGAAGGTTCAATCATTTGGCCAATTATAGGTTTGTCTTAAGTGCTGGATACTTGGGCAAGTATCAAATATTCTAAAAATTTACAAGGAATTCTATATAATTCCCAGGTATCATACTTTTTCTCCTTCAGTAGCTAGACTTAGAAACAGACATATACCTAACTTCATATACCTAGGACTAAGTGAAAATGCTTACCAGGGTGCAAGTTACTACCTCCCAATTACAGTAAAAGCTGTGTTATCTGGCCCTGTACCAAACGGAAAGCTCTAAAAATTGGCATTTCTAATCTTCATAGAAAGTCCAGTTTATTGTCCAGTTGGCACAGGGCCGTCAGGTTCCCTACCTGGCTCCACGTGGCTCCCGGGAAGTGGCAACATGTCCCTGCTGCTCCTAGGTGAAGGGCCACGAGGGGTTCAGAGTGTGGGAGGCGGTGTGGGGCTGTGGGTTGAGGCACGGGAGGGGCTTTTGGGTGCTAGATCCAGGGGGCGCTCACTTCGGGCTGCTCCCTGTAAGCGGCGATCTTTCCCTGCTGTTCTTAGGTGGAAGCGTGGCTAGGTGGCTCTGTTCACTGCCTCCGCCCACAGGCGCTGCCCCCGCAGCTCCCAAACTTCCTCCTAGAACCTGCGCCCCATGTCCCAACCCCCAGCCCCATACCCCCTCCTGCACCCAAACTCACTCCCTCTTAGTTAACTGGACTTTTTCACTTACTGGTACCCACTATTTCCCCAACATGGCAGTTAAAAAAGCTTTTACTGTAGGTGGAAACCTGGGATTTTGGATTATATAATGTAGAATTTATAAAATATTAAGTGTGTTTTGATTGAAGAGCTACAAATGGTGGTTGTGAACACTGCAGTAGAAGCATATATCTCTTGTTGGGATTATCTATATCTCTGTTCAATCTGAGTCAATATTTCATTTCCTCTTCACTGGGGAATGGAGTCAGGAATGTTATGCTAAACTGATGTCCACAATTCAATAAGAAAGGAAAGTGATATTGAGTTGATAGCATTTTCTTGCAGGGGCACCTGTTTATCTTCCCTGTTTCTTACATTCATTATATAAAAACAACAAGGAGTCTGGTGGCACCTTAAAGACTAACAGATTTTTATTTGGGCATAAGCTTTCGTGAGTAAAAACCTCACTTCTTCGGATGCATCCGAAGAAGTGAGGTTTTTACTCACGAAAGCTTATGCCCAAATAAATCTGTTA